TTCACTGCATGATGTCCTTACCAATTCCCAACCCGACTCTTTACTTGTACAGCTGCTTCACCACTCTCAACGCCACAAGACTCCATTTGTTCTTCTCAAAGATTTTGTATGCTTGCAGGTAGCACTACCATCCCCTGACCATTGGTCGTCTCCATTGCCATGTCCCACCAAAGGTACCATCCTTTGACCATTTGTCTCTCATTTATTGCTACTATTAGTAGGAGTGTGGAACCTTCTTCTTTTGCAGAGGAATCTTCTAAATCCCAAATGGCAATAGGGCATGCATTCTGAGCTTGTTGCCTTGGATGTAAACAATACATGGACCCTCACCTCTTTACCTCCCGGTAAGGTCCCCATTGGCTGTCAATGGGTCTATAAAATCAAACACCTATCTGATGGTTCTATTGAACGCTATGAAGCTCGCTTGGTTGCCAAAGGATACACACAAACTGAAAGGCTTGATTATCATGACACTTTCTCTCCCACGAAAAAAATGATCACTATTCATTGTCTTCTTACTCTTGCTGCAGCCCAAGGTTGGTCCCTTCACCAACTCGACGTGCATAATGCTTTTCTTCATGAAGAAATTTACATGTCTCTATCGCCTGGTCTTCAGCGACAGGAGGAGAATTTAGTTTGTCGCCTCAACAAGTCTCTGTATGGCTTAAAGCAAGCTTCTCGTCAATGGTTTGCTAAGTTTTCTAAAGCTATACATGTCGCTGGCTACATCCAATCCAAAGCGAATTATTCTCTTTTTACTTGCAAACAACGCAAGTCCTTTAGTGCTCTCTTGATTTATGTTGATGATATCTTGATTACAAGGAATGATATTTCTGCTATCAATTCTCTCAAGCAGTTCCTCTACACTCGTTTTTATATCAAGGATCTTGGAAATCTCAAGTTCTTTTTGGGGATTGAAGTGTCCCGATCAAAGAGAGGCATTAGTATTTCACAAAGAAAGTACACACTCGAGATTCTCAAGGATGGAGGTGTTCTTCGTTCTTGACCTGTGACTTTTCCCATGGAGCAAAACCTCAAATTGTCAGATACAAAAGAATTGCTTCATGATCCATTCAAGTACAAAAGGTTAGTCGGTTGTCTAATTTACCTGACCATCACGAGGCTTGACATCACATATGCCGTACATGTGCTAAGCAGGTCCATGCACAAACCCCTTAAGCCTCACATGGAGACCGCACTTCAAGTCCTGAGATACCTCAAGAATACTCCCTGGCAAGGACAGTTTTTCTCCGCTCAAAGTGACTTAAAGTTGAGTGCTTATTGTGACTTAGATTGGGCAAGTTGCCCAACCACTCATAGGTCACAACTGGGTATTGTGTGTTTTTGGGTAGCTCATTGATTTCTTGGAGGACTAGGAGACAGAAAACCATATCTCTTTCTTCCGCAGATGCCAAATACAGAGCCATGGCCTTGGAGCATGCTGTGAGCTCTCTTGGCTGCGAAGTCTCTTGCGAGATTTGCAGCTACCACATCCTAAACCAACCTTACTGCATTGCGACAACCGTGCTGCATTACATATAGCAGCCAATCCAGTCTTCCATGAGAGAACAAGACACATTGAAATGGAGTGCCACTTCATTAGAGACAAGATACAAGAAGGGGTTGATCATTACAAAGCATGTTGCATCTTCACAACAGGATTGTCGACGTGTTTACCAAACCCTTGGGTAAAGATGCGTTCTCAATCATGTTGCACAAGTTAGGAGTTCTTGACATCCACTCTCCAACTTGAGGGGGAGTGTTGAGCATTCACAATATCCCACGCAATTTGAGATTAGTTAGGAAACTATTTCATTGTTGTAATTTGTAATTTGTAATTGTTTCTACTTACCAAAGTTGTACAACTATATTGTAGGACTAGATTGCTTAATTGTAGGACGACTTCTATATAAATCCAGTTGCTTGGTTAATGAGAAATTATTCTGGCAATTATACTTATACCAATTTTACAGATGAGGCTGCCATGGGTGGGTAGAGGAGGAAGAGGTGGGTTGTGGCAACTGGCGTGTTAGGGCTGTGGGGAAGAGGGGAAGAGGGTGGGTTTTTTTTTGTTTGAAATCATTTTTTATTTTTACAATTATAAATAACGTTATTTTATTATTATTTTCTTTTTATTTTGTGTATTTGACTATTATTTTATTCAAAATTAAAAATTTACCCTTATTACTAACGAAAAAAATGGATGAAATTTCGAAAATCTTAATGGCAAGGCCTAAATTGGCCAATTTAATTTATTCGGGTGTTAAATTGTTTGACTTTTTAGTCCAAGGGGTTAAGTTCAATTAGGGTCCTAGTTTGGGTGGTCTACGGAATTTTACTCTAACCAATATTCTCTCTTATCATTCTTTATTGTTGAGAAGCAATTCATTAATAAAAGGGACTTTTCAATACAAACTTAATTCTAGATGAAAATGTTGGGTATGAACCCACGTATTTGAATTGATGAATTGTGGCCCAATTTGAATTTATCACTTATTTTTGGGGAATATTTTGCCCTTGAAGGTAAATAATGGAAAGAAATTAAAAGTCTTTGATTTAAAGCATTGTCACTCTTAAATTTTGAATTTGAATTTTAACCATTTATAGCTAAAAAAATATTAACTCATATAGACCAAATCAAAAAAATTGGTATTATAAGTATAATGCGCATAAGATACATTAATGTACCTTACCAAAAGGTCAAAATGAAGAACATTTGTTTACATGACGAAACATGCATGAGCAGAAATATAAAATTGCATTACCTTATTTATAGGAAGACAAAAGTTTATATACATGCATTTATAGCAAACTCACAAATCCCTCTTTCCACTCTGCCAATTTATCAATTATTAATAAGAGTGTGGAACAGACAAAGAAGAAGAAACCAATCTGTAAGATTGATAGTTTGGGTGTTTTTGGTTTGTTGCGCACTGCCTCATTCTTTAGGATTGATTTTTCTTTTTATTTAGCATTTATTTCATAAAATAATATTTTACTTTTGTAAAAACTGGAGAATGATGATTCGAATAACTATAGAGCTTTGTTTTGTTTACTTCGGGTCTTCTAGTCCCACTTGGGAGAAAAGGACCACTGTGCTACGAATTAACATTTGGGATATAGGAAGAACTTATCTTTTGAATAATTTTATTTTATTTTATCATTAATTTGATTGTTAGTGAGATGCATGCACAGTCAACAAATTCAATCGACCCTTTTCTTCTGTTCTTTTCTTTATATAAAATCTGAATATGAACTCACTCGTCTAGCAATTCCAATAAAAACCCAAGGAGGGCCTCTAGAACATGAAAAATAATTAAGGGTCTGCATACCAATCAATTAATGAAAGTTTAACCAAGGTGGTTGGTGTGAGTGGTTCGGCACTCTCATTCCTTAAGAGAGGTCAGGGGTTCGATCCCTGCTCTCGTACGGAGTCACCACTTTGGCCAACACTTTACCCCTTACGGGCCGATCCGGTGTGAGTGGGGATTAGTCTGGGTTGTGATTAAGGCTTAAAGGTGCCACTCATAGTTGGGGCCGATCCAGGACCACCTCATGGTTCAGACCAAAAAAAAAAAAATTAATGAAAGTTTATCAAGTTATATATGCTATGTGGAGAGATATTATCTAGGTCATATGAGGAGATGAAGCTCCAACAAATGTTTATTACGTCTTGAATAACTTTTGTTTTCCTTAAGCCATGTCTAGTTGCTACATGACGTTATAGTTATAACTTTTATCATTTGGTTATCCATGTGGCATAATTAATCCATGTTATCATATTATTTTTATTTCATATGAAATCCTAGGGCAAATCTTTTGATTATTTGGAGAACACAAAAAAGTCATAAGTGAATTATAAGAAAATCATGTAATTACAATCTATTAAAATCATAAGTAAAATCTTGTAATTACAAATCCTGCTAAAATTTATTACATTAAAATCTTATGATTACAATTTATTAAAATCACAATTGAATGCACCCTCTTTTAGTGATGTGGCATACTAGAGTCCACCTCCAACATGGAAAAATTTATTTTAAAATAATAAAATATATTATTAAACACCTTTTTTTTTTAAAAGTAAGAAAAATGTCCATTTTCTCTCTGTTGCCCTCCCTCTCTCTTCGAGCTCAATCTCTCTCTTCTCTTTCTCTCTTTCCAGCGCTCACCAACACCAATCCACCCATCGATTAACTCATTCCCTCATCCTTCATAGCTCCCTCTTCCTCTTTCTCTCTTCATATAATCCTAATCCCTAATTTCACCATTCATGATTCATCGGCTGCTTCTTGATCTCTAATATTGGTTTTTGTTGGGCTAAGGTTGGCGGTGGAAGCAGCAAGAGAGGGCTCGAATCTTGGGTGCAGATAGTAGATTTAGGGGCACAATTTGCCTCTTTTTTTCCACACCTCTCGCATTTGTCAACATCTACTACCTTACCTATCCAATATTTCATCCCTTTGTCTCTCTGTCTATTTCCTCACATTCACTCTCTCTTTGTCATTGTTTTCCTTTTCTGATCTTTATTCCCTCTCCGCCTATGTTGCACGGACACGGATACGGGGACACGGGAACGCGACACGGCGACACGGCGATGCCTTTCCCATACTTTACCTTTTAGGGAAATATCGCTAAATACCACCCACAATTAAATTTAATCTGCAAATATCTAGCCACACATTTTGCAAATACAATCTATAAATCACACATGAAAAACAATAAAACAGAAATTAAACTAAATGACGATGAATATACCGATAGCGAGTGTAATCGTCGTGGTGCAAACCATGCTGCAAGCAGATCAAGAGATGCAATACTGTAAAAATCAAATTAAAAAAAACAGAAGACGACAAAGATGTAGCGATTTGAAAAACGAATGTATCATAGTGCAAACCGTTAATGGAGAATTTAGGGGCGATCTGACGTGGGTACTTTTCAGACGTGGGTAACCATCAATCAACTAGTGGGTACTTTTCAGACGTGGGCTGCCCACACTTTGTTTTTTTTCTTCTTCTGCTCCTTTTCTCTTTCATTTTCCTATCACCACCAACGTTCATCATCTTCTTCTTCTTCTTCTTCTTCCGAAAACCCAAACTCGTGGGTACTATTCATCACTCTATAAGTCCGATTTCGAAAGCTCAAATCAGAAAACTTCCTTCATCAAAGTTGTTCGTCTGCTCGAATACTATAACATACCCAAAAATGAGCATCATCAGATCGGTCTAGCTTCCTCGAGCCGGCTATGACATTTCTGTATTTATCCATGGCTGGTGAGGTGAGTTTTCTGCAGCTCGGTTTTCAACAGTTTTCTTTAATCTCCAGTGCTCGTTTGACAAAACGTCCTTCTCTAATGTTGTTCCTCAGTTTGAGAACTATGACATATCCAAAAATCAGAGCAATCCAACTACTCTAGCTATGCCTGTGGTAAGCATGTTCATCACTTCCTCGGATTCTGCTGTTATCACTGTAGAGTACCTGATTCACTCTTGTATGTCACTTTTCCCTTGCTCAGATGACAATACTTCCTTCATGAAGGTTGTTCAGAATTCTTTTCTCTACAACATATCCAAACACAATGGCAGTCCAACAAGTGTAGCTTTCTCGGCAGTGGTACAACTGAAACAAGCTTTTGTTAGTTTTCAAGTGTTGTTTGAGTTGGTTATTTCTCTTTGGGAGCTTCACCCAGGATTTCGGACCAATATTAAGGTAAAGTTTTAAGATGCTTTGATTTCTGGAAATTTGTGTCCGAGTTGTTGGCCGAAGCCGGTTTTGAAAGTGGAAGGACCAAAAGATAATTTAAAATAAGTGTAAGTGTCAAAGTGAAAACAAAGGAAAATGTAAGGACTAAAGTGAAATTATGGATAAGTCTGAAGACTGAAATGTATTGGAAAAAGTATAGGAGCCAAAGTGAAAAATAAAGGAAAGTATAAGGACAAAAGTGAAATTATTGACAAGTGTGAGGACTAAAGTGAAATTAAAGCTAGTTATAATGACTAAATTGAAAATAAGGATTTTTAGTAACATTTTTGAAATGTTGGACTAGGAATCAGTTGCCCAAGCAAGAACAATTTTATTTCAAAGGTGTAGAATGCAAGTGAGGCATAGTATATATTGTTGTGTGCGAAAACTGCAATGTTTGATTGCCTAATTAACACTTTAGTTTTTCTTGACTATTTATTTATTTCTTTTGTTGGGTGAGCAAAACACAAGTGGTTCCTTTACACTTTAGTAGGAAAACTCTTGTTCGTAACTTTTGTAATATTCTTTCTTTATTTTGGGGATTAAGGGCCTGTTTGTTTACTTTCTCTAGTTCCATTGCTTTTCTTCTTTTGCTTGTTCTATTTCTCTCATCTTACAACACAAATATATATACATCGATCTTTATTTCTTGGTTTATTTCTCCAGTCTTTGTAGGTAGTTGTTGTGTGGCGTTAGTGGAATACTAAGCATTCGGATTGCGGATAGTGCTAATTTGCTGCTAACTCCAGGTTTGTTTTTCTTAGACATTTTAAATTTCAATTATCGACTACCTCTTAGCACGCGCTTACGCATTGGCCAGTTGACTTTTGTTTTTTTGTTTTTTGTTTTTTTACTATGAGGGAGAAATCAAACAGTGCTCGTTTGATAAAAATCACTTTCGTTGACAACAAAGCGTTAGAGTAACTATACATTTATATATAAAAACAAAAGAAATGAAAAAACAAAGAAGACATATGAAAGAAAAATGGAAATAGTTTTAACTGCTAGTTAATGGGCTTGAATTAGTTTTAATTTTTTATTACTTAATGATTAGGTGTGTGCTAATTTGCCTTTCAAATATTAAATTGTTGTTATTTAGCAAACTAGTTAACCAAAGGTATTTGAGGTTTTTTTTTTTATAATGTTTCACCATTTGCGGTCTCTGCCTTAATATATATAGATTTCATTTTACAATTATACATCCATTTTTTTAGATTGTTTTCTTAAATAAACTTTTAAAGGGAGGAAACTGTTGCAGTGAGCTCCAGTGGTGAGATAATGCAAGGTATTGGGTTAGGATTAGGATATGTGTAGGGTTCAATTACCTCCAACATAACGAGAAAAATAATGATAAAAAAAAAAAAAAAGGAAGGGTGTTTTATAGAATTTTGAATGTTTCACCAAAATAATGGGTTACTTTTAAGATAGTATCTTATTTTCAAATTGTCCAACCGACACTCCAGTGTTGTGCTAAATATCCAAGACCTTGTCGTTGATGGACTACGCAACTGTCACAAACAAGCCACACAAAGATAAATCATACACAAGCCGAAAAGTAAACACGCACACAAAGAACACAAGAATTTATAGAGGTTCAGCGTTGTACCCACGTCCTCTTGGTGATCCCCTAGAAATCCACTAGTATGAAAGAACCCCCTTTGATCTCTCACAAACCCTATCTGATCATTTAAATGTCTTAGCCATAAAAATCCACGATGTTCAAATGTTGCGGAATGATGAGTTTCTTTTAAAAAGCCAGCCTATAAGATTTCATGTATCTATCAATATTAGTTGGTCATACGAAAAAGACAGTTTCAAGAATCGAATGCCTAGTTATCTGTTCGAAAATAGTTTGATGCTTCGTGGTGATGTAAAGCAATATTTGGAGATTGGAGCAGTTAGATACTTCTTGAAGCAATGTGAAGACTTAAGCCTACACCACACGTACAATTTAAAGAGTTTGATGCTTTTGAAGCAATCTTATGATCAAGGGGGCTTTCAACGCTTGAAAGTTTTATCTTTCAGTTATGACAAGGACATAGAGTATCTTATGAATGGAAAAGATTGGACTTGTCAACATCCACACAAGCGCTCCTTTATGAACCTAAGATCCATTGCAATTCACCATTGTGATAAGTTAAAATATGTCTTTTCACTCTCCGTAGCACAAAACTTGGTACAACTCCAAAGCTTAACAGTTGAAAGATGTGCTAAAGTGGAAGAGATCATATCAAAGGAGAGAATGGAAGATGATAATGCATCTCACATGATAAAATTGTCAAGATTAACAGTTTTGAAGCTTTCTAATCTACCCAAGCTTCTTGGTTTCTACACGAGCAACCAACACGACTTTACCAATGAGGTATATATGTATCTAAATATGTTAGTTAAACAAATAATAAATCTTTTGATGCTTAAATGGTACATATATATACATATACAGAAATTCTCTTATGCGGACATCCGAACGTTATTATCGTGCGGACGCCATGTATTTTGTACTACCCCTCCCTGCTTTCCTGCCTGTTTACAATAGTATCCGCACGATAATAACGTACGGACATCCGGATAAGAGAATAACTATATATATATATATATGCTTTTGCAATAAATATGTCATTGAATATTGGTTTTTGCGTTATTATTTCTATATACATAAGTTTGTCTGCATATGCAATAAATGTTTATTGGTAAATAGTAATTGAGAGAAATAGTGGGTAGGAAAAGGATTTCTCAAATTTTATGATAGAGGATGTGGGAATATAATTAAGGCAATTTGGAAATAAGAGAAATGGTGGAAATTCATTACTTATGTATTTCTTTCTTTTTGGCTCATGTGTAAGTTCATTATTTATGTAGAATTCATTAATGTACAGATTATAGAGCCCAATGATGAAAGTGTGAACAAGATGAAAGAGACTAGGAATGACAATCAAGTTGCTGGGTCGACCTCATCTAAATCAAAAGTAGCACAAGTGGGAGCAAGTTGTAATGCACTATTTCCTTCAAATTGCATTTCGTGGTTACCAAATCTAAAGGAACTAGAGTTGAAGTATTTGACAAGCGATGTGGTATTTGATTTAGAAGGGCATGTCTCAACATTTTCTCAATTATAGACATTCAAAGCGAGGTTTTTATACGAGGTTGAACATTTGTGGAAAAACGTTCAACTTGGATTCCAAGGTTTTCAAAATGTAAGATCTTTAATAATTGGAGATTGTCACAGTCTGAAATATCTATGCCCCTATGAAATTTACAAGCTCCTTGTGAATCTCCAACAAGTCGAAATATATACATGTGAGAATATGGAAACTATAGTACTGGCAGCTGCTTCCGCAAAGGACAATATCCATGAAGAAGGGAAAGAGACAGGTGGCAGTGGCACGATGACTTTGTTTCCCAAACTACCGATCAATGGCTTCAGACTGTACGACTTACCAAACCTCGAGAGATTTTGCCTTGATGCCTATTCTTTTGCATGGTCCTCCTCCACGAGATATATGTACGTGGATGAATGTCCCAAATTAAAGACATTGGGTTTTGCACTAGTAAGCAAAAAGCTGCTTGTAGCAGTTGCGGAGAATTTGAGTGATGATCATGTAAGAGGTAGAGAAGAATCAAGATCTAGATGTGCATCATCAACTGGATCTGGATCTTTATTTGGATGTGCGCCACTAGTCTGCTTACAAAGTCGTCCATCTACTCGCAACTTTACTCAAATATTGCCCCGCCCTGTAAATAGAGAGGTACGTCATTATTCTAAAGCGATATTTATTTTGTGAAAATTGGTCTTAGGTTCAGATGTCATTGAAGATAAAGAATAAATAAAAAAAATAAAAAAAAGTTAAATGGGCTTGGCCCATGACAATTGTAAACACCTGCTCATTTTCATATGGGAAATGATCACCATTATTTTCGCAAATAGTCTTATTAATATCTAGAATGTGATAATATACAATAATTAAACTGCTTAGTTAAACAGCAAACAATAAACATTTCTTTTTTCTTTTTTAAACAACATTCTTGATTTCTAGAGTGTGATAATATCCCATATGTGCATGATTGAAACACTGACAAATTAATATACAATTACTTTTCTACCCGTTTGCCAGGTTACGCTGGCAAATCTTCAGAACTCAAGTGCTAACTACAATCTAGAAGATCTCCATGTAGTAAGGTGCGATTTATTGGAAGTGATATTTTTGGTTCAAGAAACCCCTTCTACTCAAGCATTTGATAAGCTGAGGAAATTAGTATTGTGGTTGTTACCAATGCTGAGCCACATATGGGAAAAGGGTTTACAAGTTAGCTCAGGCTTTGGAAACCTGAGATTCCTAGGTGTATGGCAATGTCACAATTTGAGATACTTGTTTTCACCGCACATAGCCAAACTTCTTACCTGTCTTGAGACAATAGAAGTTTCCAATTGTAGTGCGATGGAGAAAATTGTTGGAGAGGCAAAAGGAGGAGGAGAAAGTATTAAGGATGAATTGACATTTCCGCACATGAATTATATCCAACTTGTGGATTTACCCAAACTTGAATCTTTCTACTCTCAAGCTCATACTTTGAAGTGGTCGTCAGCCTTGGAGAAAATCACAGTTCGAAATTGTCCAGAATTAAAAGCGTTTGCTTCTAAGTCTTTGTATGTGTAAGCACCCAACATGTGTCTATGAAACGTCCACATGGAGAGAAAAGAAGGTATGTTTTTAATTTAACCAAGCGCTTAATATATTTTCATGAATTGGCGTTGCTTTATCTTTCTTATGTCATTAGTCAATTACAGCAATAGGTCCATCTCCACATTTTTCATTTGACGAATTTCACATTTACAAACCTTTTTTTTTATTGCTAAGAAATTAAATGGGTTTGTTTATAGAAATTAAATGGTGTAGGGTTTATTTATAGTTTTATTGCTAAGAATGAGTATATGACTAAATATCTCCAATAATTTTTATACCATAATTTTGTCTCTAATTGGCACAGATAAGCCATAAACTCGTAATTCCTAAGCTTTATGTTCTTAAACATTATACTACGGACAGGGGCGGAGCCAATGCAGGCCCACAAGGGTCAGCTGACCCTCCTGAAATTCCTTAATTAACCCTCCATTCAATATTATTTACCCTTTGTATATAAATTATTATTAATATATGACCCTTCTCAATCTCAGCTTTCCTTTTTTCTTTTCTTTAATTTTTTTAATAACTTCTTCATTAAAGAACTACTAACCTAAAAGCTAAAGGAGACAACCTTTTGCACTACTTAAATTAACCCTATTCTATTTCAACTTTGCACTGCGTGAATTAAACCTATTCTATTTCAAGTCTTCGTTTGCATCAATCATTCAATTCTTTTTTTTCTCTCCAACGCTACAGCAAGAATTCAACTTTGTTTCACTGAATTGTGACGACTAATCCAGTAAGTCTTTAACCCTAATAGTGTAATTTTTTTTGGTGTAGTTTTTTTATTTTTATAGTTCATTGTATTTGTGGTCAGTTAATTAGTTATTTATTTATTATCGCAAATCAAGAACAATAATATTTATATGATTTCTTTATCATCTGATTTCTGAAATTTAATTTTAAAACAATTATGGAGAAATATTTTAAAAGAAAAGCGACAGATCAATTGTCACCTCCTCCAAGAACAGATCGCTAAATTGTGAATATTTCTATTATTTTGATATTTGAGATTATAATTATTCGGAATACTGATTATATATGTTTAGAAATTGATATTCATTCTTTGATGAAATAATTGGGCAAAAGATTTATATGAGTTAAGAGGCCTTGTGATGATGATGTGAATATGTGGTTGCACTATACTAAGTACCCTCCCTTGATTGTTGGGCCCACACGTGGCGTTGGAACTTCCAACGTGTGGGCATATATGATTTTTTTGTTAGTATCACACATGGCGTTGGATCTTCCGGCGTGTGATAAAGTTGTCTACGCGCGTGGGATTTAGTGTTATGGTACCCACACGTGGCGTTGGAACTTCCGGCGTGTGGGCATATATGACTTTGTTGTTAGTATCACACATGATGCTGGATCTTCCGGTGTGTGATAAAGTAGTCCGAGCGTGTAGAACATGGTTTGGTTAGGCCACACGTGGCATTGGATCTTCCATCGTGTGGGCTCATTGAAATACTAGTTACCTTGCCACACGTGGCGTTGGATTATCCGATGTGTGGGCATGTATGGTTATGTTATTAGCTTATCACACGTAGCGTTGGATTATCTGGCGTGTGATAAAGGATCCGTATACTTGGGTTACTGATACTTTACTACGAGTGGCGTTGGACTCTCCGGCGTGTAGTAAAGTAACAGGGAGAGGAAAGAGGGACTATTATATTATGTCGGGGAAAGTTTAATGTTTAAAAAGATTATGATGGGTATGACATGATTTAAAGTAAAGGGAGATGAATAATTCTAGAATTTACTTATTAGTATTGTTGAAATTGATTGTATGTTATTTGAACCTGGATTTTTGTAATTTAGAACTACGTGTGGCTTGATCCCTCGCAAATGGGTACGTAGGTAGCCTGAGGTCTTACCTAGGTGCAGCCGTGAACTAAAGTTATTTTTGGAACTTTGTCGGTGGTCCTTAAGCTCGTGTGAAAACGAGGCTTGATTGATTGATTATTTGTTTCTCGTTCGACTAAGTGAGTGTTGTTAAAATGTGATTGTGGGCAAGACAGATATGAAACTCATTTTGGAATCGTTGTACGATTTGGACCAAGTCCTTAATCTACTTGCGATGGTGTTTGGTTGTTAAACATCGCTTGATGGAAATTGGGAAGTTATTTTATGTTAATTACGGTGGGCATGCTAAAATTAGTTTGAGTTCATTAATGGCATCGTTTAACTGCATTATTTGACTTAAGAACATTGCTGGTGATTCTCCTTCGAATTATTTGAAGGCCGGAGGCCTATTATGTAAATTGCATGTTTTTGACTTGTGCATGCTGCCGGTTGAGTTATAACTGAGTTTTGATAGGTTAAAACTTTTGGGAAATGTTCGTTTTTCAAGGGAAACTCTTCCGAAATTCCACATGATTCATCTCGAGTTCCGAGGAATTCGGGACGGGTCCGGTCACTTCAGTGTCAAAAAAAATAATTTCTCATGTAAGCAACATATGAGAGTTCCATTAACAAATGTAGAATAAAAAGATTCTACATTAGCCCGCATTATTTTAGTCATATTTTTCTTCCACAATGTTGAAAGCATGACGGACTCATGAAGTGTGGGAGTATTATTATTATTTTCCTTATAGTATATAGATTTTAAGGTTTTTTTAAATAGGTTTTATAGTTAATATATAGGTTTTTGAGGTTTAGTTCAGCCGAAAATTTAACAGTCCACGCGTGAAATATGGGTCATTTATGGTGTGAAATATTAATTAAAATAAAGTGCCTCAAAGTTAGAAGGAAATCGTGCAAGAGATGAAAATTCTAATTAAGCGTCAATTATGACGCTAGGAAAAGAAGGAAGGCGTATCGTTGAGATTTTCTGTTTGCTTGATTTCTTGAGAAGACTTATATTATATTTATATTTTTAGAATAAATTATCAATCATGATATTATTTTCCTGATATGATTTTAATTATTTTTCTTATTAGTTAAGTTTTAGAAATATTATGGAATCTAGAAGTTTCCTACGGTTTTAGGATTTCTTGGTTTTCTATTTAAGCCAACTCATGACATTGTATTAACCGGTCTATTCATATTAATAATCAAATTTAGAAATTTTCTCTATTTTCTGGTGTATTCCAGTCTATGATGAATTTCAGTTTTCTTTTTTTGGATTTAGATGTTTGTCGATCTCGTGCTTCCGTGCTGCATCAGTTGATCACCATTGCTCCCCTGTGTACTTGTCACTATCGATACTCATCACTACCCCTCAATCTCATTCAAGCGACGTTGATGGCTGAACCGTACCGTACACTCGCACCCCACCACCTCCATCACAGTAGCTGCCCTCAGAAACGGACGAAACAACCCGCTCACATTAACTACAATGAATGCCACACAAACGTTAAACTTGTATTATTTTGTATGGGCCAAAATGAATGGGACTTGTGGATGATGTGCCAAGAAGTAATACTGGAATCTTGTGCTTGGGCCATGAGATGAGACTGATAACGTCAGAGTGAATTTTTTTTTTTTTTTTCAAAAGTCAGAGTGTTTTTTTTTTTTTTTTTTTTTCAAAAGTCAGCTGGAAGGGTATCAAACATATATTGAGATACCTTCGTGGAACAACCGACATGGGTTTATATTATTCAGAGAAATCAAAACCACAAATAGTCGGTTATGCAGATGCTGGTTATCTTTCTGATCCACATCAAGGCAAATCTCAAACTGGTTATGTATTCACTTGTGGTGGCGCTGCCATATCATGGAGATCCATAAAGCAGACTCTAGTCGCCACTTCTTCGAACCATTCCGAAATATTAGCACTACATGAAGCAAGTCGTGAATGCATATGGTTGAGGAATATGACTCAACATATACTAGAAACGTGTGGATTGTCTTCAAATAAAAATACTCCAACAACAATATATGAAGACAATGCAGCTTGTATTACACAAATCAAGAATGGTTACATCAAGGGTGACAGAACCAAGCACATTTCACCAAAGTTCTTCCACACCCATGAGCTTCAGAAAAGTGGTGAAATACATATCCAACAAATACAATCAAGCGACAACTTTGCAGATTTGTTCACTAAAGCATTACCAACTACAAGGTTCAGAAAGATGGTTCACGATATTGGGATGCGTAAACTCGCAAATCTTTTGACAGCATCAGGGGGAGCGTGTGAGTCATAAAGATATCCACACACTGTACTCTTTTTCCTTCGTCCAGGTTTTTATCCCACTGGGTTTTTCCTGGCAAGGTTTTAATGAGGCAGTGTCACACGTTCGTCTGTGTTATATGGAATATAACACAAAATTATATGATACACATGAATATGTACTCTTTTTCCCTTTGACCAGGTTTTGTCCCACTGGGTTTTACTGGCAGAGGTTTTTAACGAGGTATATTTCATGCATGGTGGACATCCAAGGGGGAGTGTTATAGATAAGTGGGAAAATGATGGATGCCCACCATACATCTTTTGCTATAAAACCTACCACTATGTCGTGCCTACTATATTGTACCTACTAAGATATAGTTTTATATTTGCATAGTGTGGTGAATAGAGTTTCTCATTTGCCTATAAATACCATGCATCAATTGAATGAAGATATCAGTTCCTACGAGTATCAAAAGATTGATACCATTCTCTCTCAATTTCTTCTAAATCTTTCTAGTTTCATATTACGTTATCAGCACGAGTCTCTAACCATCCGAGGCTCTTGATTGAACTCGGTATAATTTTCTTCTCTCTAAATTCATATACTGTAATTTAAATATGAGTACTATTTTTACTAACCAAGTTTCATTTAGATGTAGCTATACATATATTAATTAAAACAGGTGGAAGCTATGTCAACACATGAATATTCTATATTGTCTAACTTTTGTGCAGGTTACTTATCTATTATCTAACCTTTGTGCAGAATATTTTTCTAATCCATTTTATATCTAACATTCGTGCATGACATTTATATATCATATACTTATTCCCTTTTTGAATATATGCATAAGTTTAATAGCTAAAGTTTATATATTATTTTTATGTAATGAAGTTTCCTTATTATACATGAACCCGAAGTTCATATTACGAACCCGAAGTTCCAAACCAAAATGATAATTGTAATATCATAAATACTAAGAAGTGAATTTTGTTGAATGAAAACCTGAAGTTTAAATTCAAAATAATATTAGAACTAGAAGTTCTAAATGATATGATAATCCAAAGAGCCAGAAGTCTTAAAATTTATTAAATTTTGATATATAGCTTCAAATACATAATTTTGAGTATTTATATTATTAATTTATACTGTTATTTTATAGATACACAACAATGTCAAACCTTGCCAAGATCGATTTCATTGCACTAGATATTTCTGGAAAGAATTATCTAACGTGGGTTCTGGATGCTGAAATCCACTTGCAAGCGAATAACTTGGGAAATACCATCAGGGAAGGAAATCAAGCATCCCTGCAGGATTGTGCAAAAGCAATGATTTTCCTTCGACGGCATCTTCATGAAGGATTAAAGACTGAATATCTTGGGGTAAAAGATCCAGCAATACTCTGGAAAAATTTGGAAGAAAGATATGACCACCAAAAGAGCATAATACTTCCAAAGGCTCGATATGATTGGATGCATCTGCGTTTGCAGGATTTCAAATCTGTAAATGAGTATAATTCAGCATTGTTTAAAATTGTATCTCAATTAACCTTGTGTGGAGACAGAATTACAGATGAAGACATGCTGGAAAAGACATTCACTACTTTTCATGCATCCAACATGCTCCTGCAGCAGCAATACAGAGAAAGGGGGTTTAAGAAATATTCCCAACTGATTTCATGTCTTCTTGTTGCAGAACAAAACAATGAACTTTTAATGAAAAATCATCAGTCTCATCCAACGGGATCAAAACCATTCCCTGAAGCGAATGCAAATGAGAATATACAAACATTATGGCCTGAAGCAAATGCAAGCCGATATGGGCGTGGTCGTGGACGCGGCCGTGGACACGGCCGAGGACGAGGTCGTGGTCGTAATTATGACAATTACCGAAATCAAGTAAGTCATAAGAGAAACACATCACACCACCAGCAGTGGAATAATAATGATAGAAAAGGAAAAGGAAAAGTGATGTATAATTCCCAAAAGAAAGATGATGATGCTTGTTATAGATGTGGAGGGAAAGGACACTGGTCACGTACATGTCGTACACCAAAACATCTTGTTAATCTATATCAAGAATCAATCAAGGGAAAGGAAAAGGAAACAAACTACACTGATTTCGATAATCTTCTTGATGATGATAACGAGCCGTTAGATATCACCCATTTAGAAGTTTCTGATTTCTTTACAGAAATAAATGGAAACACTGATCCCATAATCAATGAAGAAAATGCCAATAATGGTGGCAATGATGGCAATGATGGCCATGATGCCAATGATGACATGAATGATGAATGATTCAATGTTGAACTTTGCATTGTACTTTATGTTGTGTGTTTAAAATTCCGCATGTTGTGTTTAATACTTAAAATAAAGGGCTTGTTGTATGGAGTGTTTCAATTTCTGCATTTTTGTGTAATGTTTTTAATTCAATAAGATGGATTCATGATCTAATTATCTTTATCATCTTATATAGAAATATGAAAAATTTCAATGCTTTGAGCTATTCCAAAAGATGTGATGGAGATGTATGTCTAGTAGACAGTGCAACAACGCATACGATTCTTCGAGATAAGAAATATTTCACGCACTTAAAAATAGCTAAAGCCAATGTAAATACCATTTCGGGTACTTCCAAGTTAATTGAAGGCTCCGGGAGAGCCACAATAATACTTCCTGGGGGAACAACCATTTATATAGAAAGTGCTTTGTATTCAGTCAAATCCAGAAGAAATTTACTGAGTTTTAAAGATCTTCGTCTTAATGGATTTCATATTGAAACCATGAATGAGGGGAACAAAGAATATCTTTGCATCACTTATATTAACTCATGCCAGAAGCATGTAGTGGAAAAACTTCCAGCTTTCTCATCAGGATTATATTATACTACCATAAGTGCAGTAGAATCAAATTATATAAACCAGAAGTTTAATAATCAGAAACTATTCATGCTCTGGCATGATAGACTTGGTCATCCAGGGACAACAATGATGCGTCGGATAATTGGAAATACATTTGGTCACCCATTGAAGGACCAGAAGATTCTTCCACAGAGTGATTGCCCATGTGTGGCTTGTTCACAAGGAAAGTTGGTTATTAAACCATCAATGGTAAAAGTTGTTGGTGAATCTCCCATGTTTTTACATCGGATTCAAGGAGATATTTGTGGACCTATTCACCCACCATGTGGACCTTTTCGTTATTTTATGGTATTAATAGATGCATCTTCCAAATGGTCACATGTTTGCTTACTTTCTACAAGGTCTAATGCTTTTGCAAAACTACTTGCTCAAATAATTAAATTAAGGGCACATTTTCCTGATTATCCTATTAAAGCTATTCGTCTTGATAATGCTGGTGAATTTACATCTCAAGCCTTTGATGATTATTGCATGTCAATTGGTATTAATGTTGAACACCCTGTTGCACACACTCATACTCAAAATGGTTTAGCAGAAAATTTTATCAAACGCCTTCAAATGATTGCTAGACCCCTAATTTTTAGATCACAATTACCCCCTTCGATCTGGGGACATGCTATATTACATGCTGCATCTTTAGTTCGCATTCGTCCAAGCTCTATTCATCAATACTCTCCATTGCAACTTGTTTTTGGACAACAACCTAATATTTCTCATTTAAAGATTTTTGGTTGTGCTGTTTATGTCCCAATTTCTCCACCACAACGAACTAAAATGGGTCACCAACGACGTCTTGGCATTTACATTGGATTTGATTCTCCATCCATCATTAGATATCTTGAACCCTCAACGGGTGACATGTTCTTGGCACGATTTGCAGATTGCCACTTTAATGAGACAATTTTCCCGCCGTTAGGGGGAGAAAAAGTACCGATTCCAGAAGAACGGCGTGAAATTACATGGAATGTACCATCACTATCTCATCTTGATCCACATACAAATCAAAGTGAACATGAAGTTCAAAGGATCATTCATTTGCAAAACATTGCAAATCAATTACCGGACGCATTTACTGATACAAAGAAAGTAATAAAGTCTTATATACCGGCCGTAAATACTCCCGCAAGGATTGATATCCCTGAAGGACAACATGATAACACATCAAAGGCACGCCTGAAGCGTGGGCGTCCTGTGGGTGCTAAAGATAAAAATCCCCGAAAGAGAAAGACACTAGTGCATATTCCAGAAGAATATAAAATCATAAAAGGTACTCCTGAAGAGACAATAACTGATCAGTTTAAGGTTGATAAAAACACTGCCCCTGTAGCGGCATATGCACCCGAAGATACACATGATGAGATTAGTTTAAATTACATGAGTACAGGAGAAAGCTGGAATAGAAAGGAAGTGATTATAGATAATATATTTGCTTACAAAGTTGCAATAGATATTGCAAAAGACAATGAGGATCCTGAACCAAAAACGGTTGAAGAATGTCGACATAGAAAAGATTGGCCAAAATGGAAAGATGCTATACAAGCAGAGTTAGATTCATTGGAAAACCGTAAAGTATTTGGACTAGTAGTCCGAACACCTGAAGGCATAAAACCTGTTGGACACAAATGGGTGTTTGTACGAAAACGAAATGAGAAAAATGAGATTGTGAGATACAAAGCACGCCTTGTAGCACAAGGTTTCTCACAGAAACCCGGGGTTGATTATAATGAAACATATTCCCCCGTGATAGACGCAATTACATTGCGCTACTTGATTAGCCTGGTTGTCACAGGAAAGCTTGATATGCGACTTATGGATGTTGTTACAGCATATTTATACGGATCACTTGATACTGATATTTATATGACAATCCCCGAAGGTTTTAAAAATCCTGTAACAAATATTCCAAAGCAATGTGGTTTGTATTCGATCAAATTACAACGGTCCTTGTATGGACTAAAGCAATCAGGGAGAATGTGGTACAACCACCTTAGCGAATACCTCTTACAAGAAGGGTATATAAACAATCCTATTTGTCCGTGTGTCTTTATCAAAAGAACGGAAAATGGATTTGCTATTATTGCAGTTTATGTGGATGATTTAAATCTTGTAGGGACCCCTGAAGAGCTTACAAAAACTGCTGCATATCTAACAAAAGAATTCGAGATGAAAAATCTTGGGAAGACTAAATTTTGCCTTGGCTTGCAAATAGAGCATTTGCCAAATGGAATTTTTATCCATCAATCAACATATACAGAAAAATTGTTGAAACGATTCTACATGGAAAAGGCTCATCCATTAAGTAGCCCTATGGTTGTTCGATCACTTGATGTAAAGAAAGATGTTTTTCGCCCAAGAGAAGATAATGAAGAGCTACTTGGTCCAGAGGTACCATACCTTAGTGCAATTGGAGCTTTAATGTTTCTAGCAAATTGTACACGACCTGATATTGCTTTCTCAGTAAATCTGTTAGCAAGACATAGCTCTGCACCAACAAAAAGGCACTGGAAGGGTATCAAACATATATTGAGATACCTTCGTGGAACAACCGACATGGGTTTATATTATTCAGAGAAATCAAAACCACAAATAGTCGGTTATGCAGATGCTGGTTATCTTTCTGATCCACATCAAGGCAAATCTCAAACTGGTTATGTATTCACTTGTGGTGGCGCTGCCATATCATGGAGATCCATAAAGCAGACTCTAGTCGCCACTTCTTCGAACCATTCCGAAATATTAGCACTACATGAAGCAAGTCGTGAATGCATATGGTTGAGGAATATGACTCAACATATACTAGAAACGTGTGGATTGTCTTCAAATAAAAATACTCCAACAACAATATATGAAGACAATGCAGCTTGTATTACACAAATCAAGAATGGTTACATCAAGGGTGACAGAACCAAGCACATTTCACCAAAGTTCTTCCACACCCATGAGCTTCAGAAAAGTGGTGAAATACATATCCAACAAATACAATCAAGCGACAACTTTGCAGATTTGTTCACTAAAGCATTACCAACTACAAGGTTCAGAAAGATGGTTCACGATATTGGGATGCGTAAACTCGCAAATCTTTTGACAGCATCAGGGGGAGCGTGTGAGTCATAAAGATATCCACACACTGTACTCTTTTTCCTTCGTCCAGGTTTTTATCCCACTGGGTTTTTCCTGGCAAGGTTTTAATGAGGCAGTGTCACACGTTCGTCTGTGTTATATGGAATATAACACAAAATTATATGATACACATGAATATGTACTCTTTTTCCCTTTGACCAGGTTTTGTCCCACTGGGTTTTACTGGCAGAGGTTTTTAACGAGGTATATTTCATGCATGGTGGACATCCAAGGGGGAGTGTTATAGATAAGTGGGAAAATGATGGATGCCCACCATACATCTTTTGCTATAAAACCTACCACTATGTCGTGCCTACTATATTGTACCTACTAAGATATAGTTTTATATTTGCATAGTGTGGTGAATAGAGTTTCTCATTTGCCTATAAATACCATGCATCAATTGAATGAAGATATCAGTTCCTACGAGTATCAAAAGATTGATACCATTCTCTCTCAATTTCTTCTAAATCTTTCTAGTTTCATATTACGTTATCAGCACGAGTCTCTAACCATCCGAGGCTCTTGATTGAACTCGGTATAATTTTCTTCTCTCTAAATTCATATACTGTAATTTAAATATGAGTACTATTTTTACTAACCAAGTTTCATTTAGATGTAGCTATACATATATTAATTAAAACAGGTGGAAGCTATGTCAACACATGAATACTAATTTACTTATATGCTTAGGAATTAGGAGGTCATCAGAACGTAGCTTTTGGGGAGATATTTAGTCATATACTCATTCTTAGCAATAAAACTATAAATAAACCCTACACCATTTAATTTCTATAAACAAACCCAAAAAATGACAGCTGACCATATTGAATTTAATTTTAATTATTAAATTACTTTGATGTCCTATTGAGTGTTTTGGGCTTAGGTTTGTTTTAAGAAATCAATGGCAGTTTTGTAATTTAAAAGAAGTTAAAAGCATTTTTGTTATGTTGTAAATAGGGCACGTTAATGGGCCGGGCCGGGCTTTAAAGAGGAGAGAGAAAATACCAGGCCGGGTTTTTTTAGAAAATTCAAAGCCCAAGCCCGACCCATGGGCCGGGCTTGAGAAAGCCCATCGGGCTGGGCCGGGCCGAAATGGGCCTACTTCAATTGAAAAAAATCATAAACTTAATCATAAGGGCATTTTAGTCCAAATTTGAGATTAAACTCACTTAATTCCAATATTTTCACATCAACCCAAATTCATAAAACACCCAATAAAGTCGCACAACTTAATAAGATTTTCCACAAAAATAA